TCGAGCCAATCATGCTCTAAAGCCAAACCACACATTTCAACATGGTCCTGCGGGTCAGGATTCTACACTCCTCCTTGCGCAAGTCCCTCAGGGAAGATGCGCACACTGTCTAGACTCCTGATCTAGCAGCTGCCTGTAAACACACTCTACAGAACTGACGACGATTCGTAGTCACGCCCCGCAAAGTATGGCAGCCGGGAAAAATATGGACCACGCCAGGGGTACGACTAGTAGAGGTAATGACCTGTAGCCTATGCAATTCATCATACGTAATACCCCTGGGCTCCTCAGTTTGTGTTCCCGCATCACACGTTACCCCCTTAGTACCACTACTGCTCTCAACCCTACCGGCAGGAGGTGGAGGTGTAGCCTCTTGGGCAAATCCAACCCCTTGGTTTGAGGAGAACGGTAGGTAGGCACTGGAAGTAGCAGGTTGGTCAAGTCCAATTCGACCCGTCGACCTAGATTGGTCGTCAACTGGAAACGGTGGAGGCGGAGGTGGAGGCACAGGAGCATCTTCATCCTCATCTTCGGTGAAGACCTCGCGCCTACGCCTTAAACCCTCTGCTTCGGTTAAAATTGCCCTTCTAACTGCCTCTTGTCGTCTTGCCCTTCGGGTTCTCGAGTCCTCTTCATCTTGTCTCAACGACTGGACTCTATGTTTCCCACGGGTGCAACAAGTCCTTACACAAAACTTGCCGGCTTCCCACACAAAGAGGACTGACAGGGCCATCATCACAATCACCAACGACAGCTCCGGACTGACACCTCCTTGGTCATCATCTTCAGTTGATGAGGTGCCACATTGCAGCTGCATCATAAACATCAAACTAATCAACCATGACTTCAAGCCACTTAAACATGTTTCATCAACTCTGCACCCATTCTGCTCATCCGGACTAATCCTAGCAACCTGGGTGGGAAGTCCTAAACCCAAAAGTTCACATAGAGCTTGGTGTCTGGGTCCTGCGAGGATTTTAGTCAATATATCTGCAAGCTGAACATCCCCTGGGCAGTGCTCAGGAATCAGCTCGTTCGCCTTAATGAGGTCCTTAATGAAACTTCCTCGCACACGAAGGTGTCTCGTGCGGGTTGAGCCTCCTCCCTCCGCGAGCACTATCGCAGCGAGGTTATCGACTAGGAGCCTTATCGGCTCCAGCCTTACGTCGAACTCCTTAAGCAAAGCTGTCAAACTTTGGCCTAGTACGACTCCTTCGCAGGCTCCCACTAGCTCTGCTTCGGCTGTTGAAAGGCATACTATTGTTTGCCTTTGGCTCTTCCAAAGGACATTCCTTCCACGGTACTGCACAAGAATGCCCGACACCGATCGTGAGCCATATGGCGCAAAAGACGCGTCAGTGTATATGACAATGTTCGGCCTCGAGCTCCTCAACGGTGTCATTGAAAGCTTCTGATTCATTGTAGCATATAAAAACTCTATCAGTCGAACTCCCAGCTTGTGAACGTGAGTTGGAACCTTCGTTATCCAAGACGCCATGAGGCCAACGCAATGGGCCACGTCCGGGCGTGACCTCTGGGCCACCCAGAGAACTTCCCCGGTAACCTTCTGCGCCTTCCTCACAGTGTTGTCGTCCGGTTGTTCCTCTAGCTCCGGCATCTCACGTACCCACTCTCTGGGCACTGGAGAGGAACGGTTGCTAAGAGTCAAGCCATAGCTCCTCGCCAATTCTTCTATATATGCCTTCTGGCACAATGCAAATCCTTGTTCACCTGTCTCCAAAGTCTCCAGGTGTATCTCAACTCCAAGAAACGTTATGGGGTTTTGTTCAGTCGCCTGTTCCAAAGGCGTACACTCCCACCTAGCCTTAATCCAGGTATAAGCCAGATCGGCCTGCTCCTTGGTTGAAAGAAACATCATATCATCCACATAAATAATCACAAATCCCACGGTGACATTGTCAGATGTGATCATCTTCCACAGGTTGCTTTCGACGCTCGACTGTACCAACCACACCTGACCGTGCTCAGAGCTATGCCACGTAGCTTGGGATAATACTTCGTCACGGTGTTCCCCCCACCAACGGGGGGACTGTCTCAATCCATATACCGCCCTTTCTATATACCATAATTCTCCAGGTTGTGTTATTTCCATCAATTCGAGAATCTTGGGTGGGCGTAAAAGGATTCTCGTACGCTCACCTTGTGGTATAGGTGCCAGTAGAAAGGCGTTCTTGATATCAGTTATAAAGGCCTTCAGGTCGCGGGCTGACGCTTCAACCAGGCAAGATCGAAGAACATCCGCAGGAATCCCGCTGGCATACACATCCACACTGCCCGGCTTCAGTTCATAGTTGCCGCAACCAACAACCCTGCATTTTCGTCTAAAGTAATTTCCTCCAGAACCCGGCTTTACCGTATACACGGTCTTCGCAGGTAACACCTGTGTGCCCGGCACTCTGGATTCTTGCGCTGCTTTTTCACCAAAAAGTCTTCGGATCGCCTTCATATCAACAAGGGCTTGGACCTCTGCCTTTGAAGCAGGAATCCAGTCCTTGAGATGCTTTCGCACTTCTGAGGGCGACACATTGTGCACAACCTTGAGTGGAGTCGTTAACTCCCTAAGCAGTCCTTCAACATTCGGTGTAAAGAACTCATCATCAACCTTCATTACTCGCTCAGCCTCAGACTGGTCCCCTATCCACGCTGAAAACTCCTGATCCCTTTGAACCACATCATCAAGAGTAACCCCTAGTTTGGTAGGAACCCCTATTCTAAAGGCACCCTTGGTGCTACCTGGCTCGTCGGGCGTATAACCTACTGTACAAACACGACCAGTTGCCTCATGTGAACTATCGACGCTGGTACTCCTTCTCGACCTTCGACCCACTGGAAAACTGGCACTCCTTTGCCTAGAAGACACCTGGTATAAGGACCCACTCCGGTTACCTTGCTCTGAACATTGCCCGAAGGCCAGGACCTGTGTTGGTGAATCCGAGGGAAAGATTCCTAACTCCTCAAGTGGATCAACATATCTACCTGGTTCTATAAACCCGCAATCAAGTCCAACAAATGAACTCAGACCATTTGCACCTTGATCTGTTGCTGGAATCTGGTCACTGGCTCCTGCACTCGATGCACCTGTATCTGCGACTGTCACGCCTGCGCCTAAACCAG